TCCTATGTTTGATGTAAGTGCAATTGTGGCTTTATTCCAGTCACTTCTTAATTTATATCTCAAATTCAGTTTATCTTTGTGCCCTGGTGACTAAACAAAAGAGCTGTATGCACTTGACTGTTTGAACAAACTGTCTCTGGGTGTGGGAAACGAGAGGAAAAATGATTTAGGGATGTGGGAGGGAAATCCAGAGCATCGAGTGAGCAGCACCATCTCAGTTGTTTTAAATGGGAGGTAATCTGCGCTTTGGGTTCAGCATGTGTGTATGTATCATTTCACCCTCTGAATGAGCTTGAATATTTAGTTTTTCCTTTGCAACAAGCATCCACCCTAGGGAAAAGGGGCCTTGGTTTATTACTGCTAAAAAAATCACTTAAAACACCCAAAATTTGTCTCTGGTCTTGAAATGTTGTGTCATCTCAAGCCAATAGACTTTGTGTGCAGGCTTCATTGTTGCTGGTGGATGTTAAGATATGGGACCTGATTTGCTCTGCTGCATCCTGTTAGGACAGTTTAAGACTGTGCACTCCAACCCATCCTCTCACTGGATCCCCTCATTTTAGCTCAGCTGTAGGTAAAGGAGAGTTTGAGGCTGTAGACCTTTAGTGCTGAGGTCCTGAGGCTCTTTAAGCAAAAGATAACTTGAATACCACCCTTCATTATTCCAATAATAATATACCAGTTTGGTTCCTGCAGCAGGAGTTTTCTTCCCCACAGTTGAGCACATCTCCCCAACACATGGCGAGGAGGATGCTTGTGTGCATCCCTGCTTGGAAAGGCTGTGTGGTATAAGGAAAACAGTTTATTGCTTGTTCTGTAACTTGAAAGCAACTGGATCACGTATTGAACTGCAAAGAGCTTTTCCCAGCTAACAACCAGAGGGTTGCATTCTGGGTGGCTTTTTTACTAACATAAAACATAGCCCAGGATTTCAGAGAGCTGTTGGGGCACTTGGGCCAAATTTGAAATGAATCTAGATAATGGTGGGGGTTTTCTTTGTTTTATTTGGAAAACTTCTGTAGGCTGTAGGTGCTGCGTGTTTCCAATCTGCATCTGGTATTTGCTTTGAATCTTTGGGTCCGTTGGAATCCAAAGCCAAAAAGGTTCACGCAAAGTGTTGTGACCCAAAACTGTTTAATCTTGGATCTGTGGTCTCGGAGCCTGCAGCCCAACTTGAATACCTGATGAGTATCAGCTGAGCAAGCATCGCAGAAACTGACTTCTGCCCGTGAACCATAAACCTTTTCCCTAGGGAACAAGAAAGTAAATTGGCCTTTGTGCAGGAACAGCCGGCTAGACCGGGGCCGTGGTTTCTTCGTGCTCAATACCAGACCCTGTGGTACACTGCTGCAAAGTTCTCTGCCTTCTAAGTGAAGCCATATGAAACAAAACAATTCCCCTTTTCTGAGAGTGCCTGAACTAACCAATTTGTTCAAGCTATTCTTCTGGTTGGTTCGCTTTTAACTGAAGGAACACCGATGCGTTGAAGGCAACTTGAAAAACACCAAAAGGGAAGAAGGGGAAACAGTATCTAAACCATTTCAAGCTCACCAAAAAAAAGAGTGCAAGCATGCGAGCAGAGAGACCCTCCATAATGGTGTAACACTTAATCCCACGATGAGTTAGATATGAGTTCATCCAGAAAACAAGGCCCTAAAATTAAGCTCAACAGTTATGACTGAGGTCACAACGTGATCAGCTCAATGTGCCGTGCTTGCAAGGGAAAGAAATCCTTAAAGATATCTGGTAAGATAGGTCTTCATCTCGCTTTGCAGAGGGCTTTTACTGGAATGGTGTTCCCAACTACTTTTTTGTATCAATGTACCTAAAAAAGAGTCCTTGAGAACCTCGGCAGCACATGGCGTGAAGAAAGAGGTTTATGGTTAGTATGTCTGGATATGTGCTCTTGGTGGGAAAGGGTGATGTGTAGGAGAAGTGCAAGTGAAAAGATAACACAAGCCTGGTACCATGAGTTCTTGGGTTAAAAATGTGCTTCACTAGCTCAACATTTAAAAAGCATTGGCTGACTTCAGTGAGGTTTTGCTGGGCTGTGGTACCAGGAACTCCTTCTTATTGGCATTTTAAACTCATTTTAACCTTGGTGATCATTGATTCTTATGCCCAATAGTAAGGCAGGCAGCAATATGCCCATCAAGCTGAAGGGACAGGAGGCAGCAATATAGCCTCCCAGGGCTGCGGACCATGAGTCAAGGACCAGATTTGATCTAATTACAAGGGGTAGGAAGATGCTAAGCACATAACACATAGTGCTATAGACGTATTTTCTTGGTATTGATGGATTATGGTGCTCACTAAGCAACCTGCTTTGCAGTGACTCAATTTGCAAGGGGTAAATTAATTGAAACAAGGGCAACTTACTGTACTGTAGACAAGTACATGGGTTGGGTTTTGACAATATTTAATGTGAACTATAAAGTGATGCTGATTTTTAGTGTTTCATTTATTTGCCCACAGTAGGTGACATAGCTGTTCTGGGTAGCAGCCACTGAAGTCAAATGAGTCTATTTACTGTGAACTTTTTACCTTGTTTCTAAGTAGCTATTCTTTAGATGCACCCATCAGCTCTTCCTCATAATGTTTCCAAACAGCAATATATTTCATTCTCTTCCTTTGTCTTCAGGTTAGTAAATCTATCATCTTACTGGAAAGTTTACGGTGCTGTCACAGATTGCACATTATGCCCTGGATTAAGGCTGTTTAGCTTGAACGTGACAAGTTGTTTAAAGACAGACTGGTTTATGCTTTGTATTAATTCCCCCCTCCAAAACTGTCTTCCATAACAATGTAAATAAAGAACTCCCAGAACTGATACAGCAGAGCTGGCATGGTTAGAAGGAAAGGCTCAGCTATTACTCAATTGACATTAATGCAACATAAATCTTAATTATATTGAACAAGCATCAAACTGCAAGGTTTTTAGGAGATGGAGTCATTAGATAACAGAGTACAGTGAACATTTATCTTCAAACGAATTCTCAGCCCTCCTTAATTTCCTTTGTAGTTGGAAAGGGGTTGGAAACAAGAGGTGTAATATGGATTCACTTTATGCCTGGCTCTTTTAGCAGTATCCAAAGTTAACATGGGCTAGAAATTGCTGCAATAACAATTTCCTATTGTGCAGACGATGGACTTCACCACATCTGCACAGGACAAGGTTGCAGATGGTGTTAACAGCTCCTAGGTTACTCCTGCATGCTGTCCTCTTGCTGTGAGGAGCCAGGAGGTCTCTGTCCTACTCACTCGCATATTCATCACAGGACTGTGATGTGCAAGTCCTGCCCGAAGTGGATACTGGGTGTGACGTTCTTCCTTTGAATCCCCACCCACTGGAATTTTCTCTCCTCGGAGACATTTCCATTTTCAGCTGCTGAATGGCAGCAGGATTTGAGATGCTGTTCCCAAAATACTGTTGCTTTCAGAGAAAAACAACAAATAAAACAGATGAGAAAGGGATTTTAGTTATTTCCCTCTCTCAACTTAGGTTTATCTCACACTTGCCACAGGAGTGCTATGCTTGTAAACCATGTGCTGCATCGATCTTGCAAATTTCCTTGAAAACTGTAGGGAAAGAATTAAAATAGAATCATAGAATGTGTTGGAAGGGACCTCTAAAGCTCATCTAGTCCAGACCCCCTCCCATGAGCAGGGACGTCTTCAATTAGATCACGTTGCTCAAAGCCCCATCCAACCTGATCTTGAATGTTTCCAGGGATGAAACATACACAATTGCTCCGGGCAGCTTGTTCCAGTGTAGGCAATAGTCATTTTTTTCCTTTCTGGTATGAAATATGAAGAAATCCCTTAAATATTAAAAAATAATAAATCAGTTTCTAATTCCTTTTTATACAGAATCTTTACTTTCTCACGTTCTTACTTGAAAGGCTCCAACCTGAGCTTTATGTGGGAGCTCTGTGCATTTGCCCTTCAATATCAGCCCTCCTCTAGACTGCCTAAAAGCATCGCTACCAACTCATTAGTCACTCAGTTAAAAACTTGGCCTCCCTCTCCTACGCCTTCATTAGGACATTTCCTCCTCCCTAAGAAACCCTTTGCTTTCTCACTGCTGCTAGCAGGAGAGGTAAAGCAAAACCATCACTCTATCTTAAATACATCCAGGAGGAGTCCATCAGGAGACACCAGAGGATTAGGCAAGGCTGGTGTTTAAATCAGCCCCCTGCACTCTGAGCCTGAAAACTGCTGAGGCTCAGGCTCTGCCTGGGGGTCAGACCACTACAATTAGCCAAGAGGGTGGCACACGTAGATTAGCTTTAATTGCTCAGTCTGGTTTCCAAGGTGCTTCATCAGTGCTGTGGTTTCTATCCCGAGTAGCTTGAACTGAGATTGGAGGGAGTAAATGCTGCTAACCCCATAGCAAGAGCAGCAAGTGAGACTTGGAGCTTGAGATCTATGGGTGTGCTAGTGAGAGGCAGTGCTGTACAGTAACTGGACAGAGGAGAACTCCAGGCTTAGCCATTGCTATCCAGAAAGGTAGGAATACAAGTAGGTTTTATATCCAAAATCCAGGTCTAAAACTGTATGATCAGATCTCTGCTGTGTTAGCAGTCTGCACAGAAACTTTTCTTGACCCAATGAGTGGTAGCAAAATGATTCTGTTCCTCATTTTAATACTTTAAATATTGTGGTTTGCAAGACTGTAACTGCTGTTTGCAGCATACATGCACTGCCAGCCACTCTGCATAGGTTTTCCTGGACTTTTGGAGGATTTAAGACCTGGTTTCCTTTACTATGTGGGCAACACCAATAACTTCAAAACCTGTTTCGGAGCTTGGCCTCAGCTTTCTCACCAAAATGATCTATTTTGTGGGGAAAAAGCAGTGGTATTTAAATGCACAGGCTACTATTTTGGGAGAGTTGGGAAAGGCTGGAAGACAGGAAGCAGCCTGAATCCTAAGGGAAGGACACGTGGCAGGTCCCTTGCCGTGGAGCATCACTGACCCTCTTCTCTCTGCTTTCCACAGGCCCTCCGGGGAGGCGAGGGAAGCCCGGCCGGCGCGGAGAACCAGGTAAGCATCACCATGCACCAACGATGGCACTGGGTACCGCATGGGTGTCAGTGGGAACCTTTTGGTAATGATGCTGGTCACCTTCATCTGACGGGTCATGGGATGGGGGCCTCCCATAGCCCTGCATGCTGGATTTTTATATTTTATATATAAAATATGCATGCAGAAGTTTTTATAGCAAAAAAAAAACAAATTGAATCCAACTCAAGGCATTCACTGATGCTTCGTATTTTATCCATGCTATTGCTCCCTCTTAGCATTCAGACCCATGTTATCCATCCAACAGTGAAGTACGACTATGAATTAGCACACAAACATAGAAAACCCCCAGCCATGCTAGGTCTGCATGTGGGATGCGCCCATGTATTTCCTGATAGTCCCATGCGTGTGATGGATGGTGTTTAAGAGCTGGGGATCACCAGGCCTGGGCACATCCCATGAGCGCTCAGTGTGCCTTCAAACTGGGTGAAACCACGGGCAGACCTCACTGGGAATCTTTATTTGAGCTGTTTAATTTCATGCCTCTCTCATTTTGGTATCTGGTGGTTTTGTTGTTTTCCCTGCCTTGTGAAATGGGAAAGCACCGATCCCATTTCAGCTGGGCAGAAGTGCTGTTTACGTTCTGCTGTTAGGGCTGAAGTGCTGTTGGAGAGGGGAGAGATGCGGTCGGCATTGCTCTTTCTAAGGAAAACAGGCAGGAATGTACCTAGAAAGCCACATGGATTTTGCAATTGCCTCTTGCATGTTGCAAAGCAGCAGATGGGATTTTACACTCTTGGATCTTTGGTTCTTGAATGTTGGAAGAATGAATGGGGACCGTGTGGATCTTTATTTAGCGAGGAGGCTGTTCTCTGCCGCCTGTCACTATAGCAAATACAGGGCTGGGTTTTCCGAAAGAACTCCATAACTTTCTCATCCCCAGGATTTTAAACACTCCTTTTAGCTCTGGGGACATCAGGGGGTTTGTGCTGTGGACCACAGGCTGCTTCCTGTACAAGGGAGGCCTTTCCCTCCTCTCTTCCACTGATGGTATTTCACAGTGCATTATGCGTTCTCTGAGATACTTTCTCTCCTGAAGCATCAGGGATTACTCATGGCCAAGGGATGAGTATTGCACTTGGGATGCTAATGGCTTCCCAGCCAGCTTCATTAAACCCCTTTCCCTGGCAGCTGGGCTGTAGGAATAGCCCTCAGGTAGCTTTGATTCTCTTTTGTTTGTTGTCTTTCAAGTGTCTGAGGGCTTTAAGGAGCACAGTGAAGATCAGCATTCAATCAAGGGCAGCTGGTGAGGTCAGCCAAGGAATTTGGGGTTTATATGCAGGCATTTATGTAAACATTGTCCAAGATGTGCCTCTGGTCCATACAAAACTTTGGGAGGTAGCACTGAGCTTGGGTATGCCCTTGCCCTTTGTTCCCTTCTCCCTATTTCACACAAGAGCTTCTGCAAAGCAGTGTTTTCTGTGACCAAGTACCACTTGAGCTGAGCATCCCTCTGACAAAGAGGGAAGCTGCCAGGGAATCAATGCAGGCCCAGCAGGAAAACAAGCATTATAAAATAAGAAGAAAAAACTCAATCATTAATAACAACTGATGATCTTTTTGAACTCTCCTGTGATTGTGGAGAGGAAAATCAAGGACACTGCAGCAGATACAAAGAGCACACACAGGCACTCTCAGTGGGGCACATCAGTTAAATCCATCTAGTGCAATGCAGCCCTATGGATTCCTCTGCTGCACTGCAGATAGGAATGGGGAGAGCAGGCGTCCCTCTGTATATTGGTTTTGGCCAAGCTGCCAGATGTTTGTTTTCTCAGATAGCTTGAATATGTATTCCTGTATCTGTTTGAGAACCTGACCACACATAAACCAGGTCCTTGTTCCTTCGCTACAGCTGATAAACGTGAATAAAACCTTGCTTGCATAGCACCATAGTGGCCATCCCCAGGGACTCTGCGTGGTTATTGCTTTACAGCCTCCAGACAAGTGCTGTTGTAGAGCCAGAGGCTCAGGGCTGCTCTCAGCCCTGCCAAAGGGAGCGTTTTCTCTGGCAGTGGTTGAAATGGTCATGTTGAAAAACTTTTGTTCTGATTCAGATTGGGACTTCCAATAGCGAGCTCTTGGAAACAAGCAGAGAAGCTTTTAAGAGATCCTTTTAAATCACACCCTCCTCTTGATTGAAAGCAAGGCTGAATTTTACTGTTTTTTCTTTTGCTGTGATGGATTCGGATAAAGAAAAGATGAATCCAACAGCTCTGTTTCTCTAAACTAAGAATTCATCATCCTGAAAGCCTGCTGAGACAACAGCTCTTTACTGTAGAAAGACACCATACCAAAAAAGATTTGTTTTTATACTTTTTCTTAGGGAAAAAACAGCTATTCGGGCTGTTTGGAAATGGGGAAAGCCTGGCTCTATGTGCTTCAAAAAGCACTTGCTAAAACATGGGGGTGAACCACCATTGCTGCCTCCTGATTCCCCCCAAGGCAAGCAGCGAGTCCCATTGAGGCCCTGCCTCTGGGTTTGGCTTGGTTTATGTTGTTGTAGAGGATAAATACAGCAACTTTTCACCCTCCCCAGGGAGCCTGTGGGCAGAGGGGGGCTGGCTCAAACCCCAGTCTTTGCTTGGGCTTCATAGCTCTGGTAGCAGCTCAAGCTTAATATGGTGGCATGGATGTCACCATCATCTCTTCCTTGATCTTAGGTCAGGTACCCTGAGAGCATTTCTGCTGCTGTCAGCCCAGCTAAACAAACCAGGGAGTCATTTGAGTCAAAAGGCTCCGTCTGACCCATTTTATTTGCTCTTGTCATCATCTGGTCCCATGGAAATTGTCTCCTCTGTCAGGGAAACAACAGCACATGTGTCCTAGAGCTGGTCACAGGGATTCAGTCGGTGAGTGCTGCCAGTGTGGAAGAAATTGCTTTTAAGAACTGATTTATTCTGCTGTTGCTACCATGAGGTGAGGGAACTCACACCAGCAGCATCCTTGGAGAGCTGTCACTCACTGGACTCGCTTCAGTTCAGTCCAAGCTCCACCCCTTCCTGCCAGGACCAATGCACAAGTCGCATCATTCTTATTCCTGCTTGAGCATCATAGAATCATAGAATAGTTAGGGTTGGAAAGGACCTTAAGATCATCCAGTTCCAACCCCCCTGCCACGGGCAGGGACACCTCACACTAAACCATATCACCCAAGGCCTTGTCCAACCTGGCCTTGAACACTGCCAGGGATGGAGCATTCACAACCTCCCTGGGCAACCCATTCCAGTGCCTCACCACCCTCACAGGAAAGAATTTCCTCCTTATATCCAATCTAAACTTCCCCTGTTTAAGTTTGAACCCGTTACCCCTTGTCCTGTCACTACAGTCCCTAATGAAGAGTCCCTCCCCAGCATCCCTATAGGCCCCCTTCAGATACTGGAAGGCTGCTATGAGGTCTCCACGCAGCCTTCTCTTCTCCAGGCTGAACAGCCCCAACTTTCTCAGCCTGTCTTCATACAGGAGGTGCTCCAGTCCCCTGAGCATCCTCGTGGTCTCTTCTGGACTTGTTCCAACAGTTCCATGTCCTTTTATGTTGAGGACACCAGAACTGCACACAATGTTCCAGGTGAGGTCTCACAAGAGCAGTGGTTTCTTGCACAGCTGGAAAGCAAGCACAGTCTTGAAGACCCACTCAGACTCACCTATGTAAGCAGCTGGGATATGAAAACTACATATTAATACAAGCTTATGTGGGGTTTGCAGCCTTCTCTGAGCGTGAAGTTGGGAGGTTTTGCAACACTAGCAGTTGTGGTTGGTCCCGACAGCCAGCCTGCACATCTCAGATACAGTTCTCGCCCCATGCCAAAGGCAAAATCATGTGTGATGTCATGTTAGCTTATTTATTCAACGTGATGTGTCCCAGTGAGGACATAGTTCAACTGCTGGAGTGAGCGTCTGTGAAATAACACTGATTTTAGCAAGGAACCTGGGAGGTTTTGCTTCCCTTCTTGCTGCCAGCTGGTGCTGGGTGAGCAGGATAGGGTATGGCCATGCAGCCCGCCCAGGGCTTTCTATTTGTTTGTTTTCCAAGATCCATTCATACCGGGGTGTTCCTGAAGGCTGGATGAATGGGATCCAGGATTTGGGTGTTTAGTTAAAGTATTGGTTTAAAGTCTCTGCACAACTAGGCGGTGGGAGATGATGCTCATGTCTCTTAGAAGGGCGTGCTGCTTTCTTCTCCTGGCGTGAAGATTGATTCAAAAAATGATCTGAACTTCAAAATCCCTCAAGGAAAAAGAACAACCAGGAGTAAATACACCTGAAATGTTAAATCTGGGAAGTCTCTGAGTATGTCCCTGCTCCCCTCACGTGAAACCAGAGCTGGTTCTAGACACAGACACCCACAGCAGATCGCTGCAGTGTTGGGTAGCACTTGTCTGCATCAGCAGAAGGGAATAAGCGCAAAACGACCCTTACAGCTGGTCCCAGAAGGGCTTATTTTGATGACATTTTCACTGGGAAATGTTGACTTGGCAAAATTACTCTTTCTGGCAGAAAAAAAATTGTTTACAAATCTTTTCCATCTCAAAAATGCTTGGACAGGAAAGGTTTTGAGGTGGTAGAAATGGGATTAAAGTCATCTGCTCCGTACCCCTGATACTGGTTTCCAAACTTACATTAAGCTACAACTGTTCCTTTAGTTTGAACTTCTAAGAGTTTGGATTCAAAGAAGGCTTTGTTGGGGGTGTGTTTGGGGTTTGGTTGGGTTTGGGTTTGCTTTGTTTGTTTGTGGGATTTTTGTTTTTTCATATAGCTATTCTGTTTATAGAAATGCCCCAGTTTGGAACAGGGAAGAGCTTAAAACTCTTTTTAAGGAAAAAAAAAGCAAAGCAATTTCTATGCAGAGAAATGTTATTTCTCTTCCAGCCCTGCATGTACTTAAACCCTGTATTTTACACATGAAGACCCTTTCAAACCCCTTAGCCATGAGACTGTGTAAATATACAGTTGTAGTTATTCAG